CTCATGTCATCTTTTTGGTGAAGAGCATCTTTGACCTTCTGCATCATCGCTGTCTGTGTCTCCTTCGTCTTCTCACATAGAGACTTCATCTGACCGTACTAAACACAAGGAAACTACACATCAGCTAATTCATCCCCATTGGACCATTACACAAAAGTATGCAATCGATGTCAAATGGCAGAGACATGAAAGACATGTTCACATACATGGGAAACAAGGCTTTGATGGTCCTCTCTGACAACGTCTCCTATTTGCTTCATGTTAGAGAGAGCAGCATCCGTGTCACAACTCAACGAAGTCTGTTGTGACAGATACACACACAACTATTATTAAAGCACTAACTCCGGTGTCATCGTTGTTTCACATACAATATTATACATTTTCAAAAACATTACTTAGGTTCTTGGAAACAGTGACATGAACAGAGCCTTTTATCATAAAAGTTTAAACAATTTTGCAACATAGAACATGTGTAGTGACAATGTTTGTGTCGTACCATGGTGACTCTCATGTCCTGCATACACTGGATGAGGTTCTGTAGGGAACTTCCGTCCAACTCCAACTCACCAATCCTGTTCAGAGCCTCCAAATATAGGTCTCTGTGCATTGTGGTCTATATAAAATACAAAAACAATAATCCATTAAAACCGTAATCATGGCCTCTGTGAAAAATCAACAGATTGCTGACATAAAAGAAACAAGATGAAGTTAAAGAATTAAATCTACAAAAAAGAAAAAAAAAAAAAACTGAATGTCTGAATGTGTCCTTACCTGACTGAGTTCAGTGTGGTCAGTCTGCACTAGTTTCTCCCTGAGGTCTGAAGGTGCAGGGCCTGTAGAAGGACAACCATTTGTCCTGGCTGCAGCTAACTGCTGCACCAGAGCCTCCACCATGATCATGCTAGACCTTAACCTCTGTTCCAGCTCTTGTCTGGGGAGACACTCAAGGCTGCCTGGAGGTACACTGAGAGCACGTCAACAGAAGGAAACAGTGAGTGGCAGACAGAGAAAACACAGAAAGCTGAACTGGCCATGTCGTTATTATTGAATAATCCAGAGGGAACACTTACTTCCACAGGAGGGGGTCGGTTACAGTGCAGGAATCAGCCACAGAGAAATCCCTCTTTCTCTCAAATTGGCCAGATGTATTGACACTGTGATCTACCCATTTCATCGGAGTGGTGCCCACACAGACACTGTGGGATTCTGCAGGAGAAGCTCTTGCCGATGGGGCCGTGACGGCAGCAGTAGGTGGATCAGGCGCAGAGGCAGCCGCAGCAGGACCCATCTTTCCTGACGCCAAGAAGAGGAACTCTGCCATCTGCCGAAGCTGCTGCTGCAGGGGACCATCTGGAATCAAAGGGATATCCAGAACCGGCTTCTCCACCTCAGGCTGACGCACTGGACAAGGCTTCACCACGCCCACATCCTCGACTGGCTCAGTTACTAGGCCTGGCTGGGCCCTGCAACCTAGTGCCGTAGAGTTTAACAGAGGCCGTGGCATGGGGCTCTCCAAGTGCTCTGCCCAGAACCCAGTGGGGTTGACGTTAACAGGAGCTACGAAGCTCTTTTCACCCTCAAGAGCAGAATCGTCAGCCAAAAATTGGTCCACAGGGGGATCCTTATGAGTTTTTAATGCAAATAGAGAAACTCTTCTAACATCAGGACTGAGGAATCCAAACTGAAAAGCTGATGCTACTGTGGGACACTCAGACAGCACTTTAAGAACATCAGGGAGGTTTTCTGCACAAGGTTTTTCTGCAGAATTACAAAGAACAGGTCCATTTCCAGATGAGCCGAGAGCGCTGTCTTTTTCCTCATTGGATTCATGGGGTCTAGTGCTGATTTGCACTTGAGAGACATGCTCCAGATGCACTTCCACAGGGGTTGGAGTCTCTGCCGAGGTCACAGGATGGCTGCAGTCAGATTCAGTTTTGTGAAGCACTGAAGGCAATGCACTGTCCTCAGGATGTATGGAGTCCTTTTTCGGTGTTTCTTGTATTCGAGAGTTAACAGATTCATCATTCAGTGCCTTTAAAGACAGGGGAGTCACAGAAGATGTACTGACAGCTGGTCTGTCAGTTTCTACCACAACTTTATCGTTTTCTATGTGGCTGATATTGTAGTTATCTTGAATGTGATCCTGTGTACTGGATGTCGGTACGCTGTTGTCGTCCCTGGGCTGGCAGATCACGGCGTGCTCGTCAGGCGGAGGGGAAGTCTTCTGAGATAACTGGTTGCCATCTGATTTTTCAAACTCACTTCTGGCACTGATGAACGAGCCGAATGTAACACCCTCCTGTCTGCCAGTCTGGCTATCAGGTACCACCGAGCTAATCTGTTTAACTTCATCCACAGCATCAAGACTGAATGGTAATGGTTCCTGGTTAACGGCAAGGTTGCGACTTGGCGTTGGTGAATAACTTTCAATATTACAGTATGGGTGATCTAAATGATCATCACCGTTTTGAACATCTTGGTCACTAGCGAACATGCTTGGATCTGTACCATAATTGTAAATGGTAAATGACTCGCTGCATGCCGCAGTTTGTTCAGCTGGTAGAGGAACAGGCTCATCTGCAAGTTTGGTGTCATCTGAAATTTGAATCTCACCTCCAGTGCAGTTAAATGATTTGAAGGTCACGTCACTCAGTCCGTTAGCAGGTTTTTCAGAACCATTTGTGGCTCCAGACAAGGTGGTGATAACACAAAGATCGTTTTCACTACTGCAGTAGAGATGATCTGCATGTTCCACTCGACATAGTTGATCAAAGTCACACAGATTTGTTAAATTCACACTGTTGTCTTGTAAAGGTTCACCAAGCTGTGCCTTGGGCAGAGGAATGGTCTCATCTTGTAGTCTGGTGACATCAGAAACTTCCACCTCACCGCCATCGCAGACAAACGATTTCAAAGTCACCTCTGTCTTTCCACAGAAGTCGTGCTGAAAAGCTCTGATATCTTCTGTGGCACACTTATCATCCAAGTCTCCGGAGGCCAGTGTAGAGTTTGAAATTTCACGTGCTGCGTCAATGTCAACCAAGGAAGCATCCTTCACCTCAGGATTGTGATAGGGGTGTTCTATGTGGTCACTGCAGGACTGAACTACCATGCTGTCAGAGATGACCGTATCTTCTGTTTCATGAGTGTTTCTTGTAGCCTGATCTTTGGGCAAAAGAATACTCTCTTCTACGCACACCGAAGAGCCTGTAATCTCAACCTCCCCACCAGGACAGATGAAGGATTTAAATGTTACATCTCCAAGTCCACAAGTTGTCTCACTAGATGTCATGTCAATATTGGAAGCAATGGTTTGTATCGCTTTGGTGGATGGAGGAGAGAGCAGGTGGGGCTCTGAGTCACAGAGAGGAACATCGCCCTGTTGATTAGGAAGAACTGAGGGTAAGAAAAAGTAACAAAGACATTGCAAACATTAACATTTCAGTGGTTTTTTTTGTGTCAACTCACCTTTTTCACAACGTCTCCACTGAGCAGTGGTTTTGATTTAAACCTTGATGGAGTTGACAGATGAAGCATTTCATTATCCAGACTTCTGAGAGGGGTACGCTCTCCACATCTGCTTGAAGGCTATCATCAACAAAAGTCAAACCAAATATTATCAGCTTGTCATGTAGTAATTTAGTAAATAAAATACATTGCGCATAAGGGAGCACAAAAAGTCTTACCAAGCCTTCCCCACTGGAACTTGACTTCCTGGAGGACATTACTCTGGAGTACTGGGAAACAACTTGTACAACTGCAAAAGAAGACAAACAATTTCTTGTTAAACGTGTTTTTTTGTTTTTAAATAGCTGATTAAGCTGCTTGGTGGACATTATCGTTAAGCCAGTTTCCAGAGACAGGCTCACATTATGATACAGGCAGTTGGCCAGAAGTTGGCTTATAAGTGCAAAAAACTAACCAAACAGAACTTGGATGTATGTGATAAATGTGTAAATTACTACACAAAAGCGTGCTAAGAATAACGTGAGCAAGGTCGCAGGATGACAAACTAGTTTAGGAAAGCGTTACCGACCGAAGTCGTTAGCTAGCCAACGTAAGTTACGTTACATTAACTCAAGTGAAGTTTGCACACACCGTCAAATAACCGACATTTTACACCAACCAACCTATGGGCTCCGTGAGGCAGCACATTAAATCATATAAGAGCACATTTACCTCCCAGTATTTACCAGCCAGCTGTAACCAACGTTGTAAAAGTGATGAGAATAGAGTAAACAAACCAAAAGCGTTCAGCTGCCATCAACCGCGTTTCATTCAAAACACAAATGTCAGCTCTGCTATTGGTCCGTTCCTCTTCTTCGGTGGTTTTTTAACCCACTGGGCGGATGTACCGCGCTCTGTCACACGCTGCTGCCCCCAACAGGACACTTGTGTCACTACACAAGGGCGTTTTCGTTAGTTATAAAATCTACAATTTTCCTCTTTTTTGTCTTTTTAGATTTGTACAGCCAGATTTCTTTTTACCTTTTTATTTTTCTTAAAGTATTTTTTTCTGCTTTTTTTATGCCTTTTTTTGATAGGACAGCTGGACACAGACAGGAAAGGGGGCAGAGAG